CTGAGGCTGAGGCTGAGGCTGATGCAGGGTGAGGCTGAGGCAGGCTGAGGCCGAGGCTGAAGGCAGACTGATGTTGAGGCTGAAGCAGGCTGAGGGCGAGGCTGAGGCAGGCTGAGGCTGATGCAGGCTGAGGGTGAGGCTGAGGCAGGCTGAGGCCGAGGCTGAAGGCAGACTGATGTTGAGGCTGAAGCAGGCTGAGGGCGAGGCTGAGGCAGGCTGAGGCTGAGGCAGGCTGAGGCTGAGGCTGAGGCAGGCTGAGGCTGAGGCTGTGACTGCGACTGCTGTTGCCACTGCGACTGCCATCGCGAATGCGACCACGACTGCGAGAACAGCAGAATTCTACAACAGGATTCTTATCTGAATCTTAAGGGGAATGCTTCCAGATATGCTCCTACACATCGCTGTTAGGTTGCTTTGCCGGGATAATCCAAGGAGATTTCGTTTCCCATAATTCGGAATTCGAATTCTGGGAAGCCGCGTTTTCCGAAACTCGGAATTCGAATTATGGGAGACGCAAGTCCAGCCCATTGAGTGTAGTTTTTCAACGCAAATTGCGTTACCCATAATTCGAATTCCGAATTTCGGGAAGCGCAGTTTCCCAGAAGTCGAATTCCGCATTGTGGGAAACGCAAGTCTGGCCCATGGAGTATGGTTTTCAATTGAGATTGCGTTTCCCATAATTCGGAATTCTGGAATACGCAATTCCGGCCTATAGAGTGCGTTCTTCCATGGAAATTGCGCTTCCCATAATTCGGCATCAGATTTCTGGGTAACCGCGTTTCCCCCAACTCGAGAGTTGAATTATGGGAATCGCAATGCCAGCCCACAGGGTGTGGGTTTTCAAAGGAAATTGCGTTTCCCATTATTCGAACTTCGAATTTCGGGAAACGCAGTGTCCCAGAGTTCGAATCTCGAGATAGGGGAAACGCAATTCCAGCCCATTGAGTGCGGTTTTTCAAAGGGAACTCGCGTTTCCCATAAGTGGGAATTATGGGAAACGCAATTCTGAACCACCGCGCGCGGTTTTTCCAAGGAAATTTTGTTTCCCATAGATTCGGAATTCGAATTCTGGGGAACCGCTTTTCCCGAAATTCTGAATTCCAAGTATGGGAATCGCAATTCCGGCCCATGGAGTGTGGTTTCCCAAAGGAAATTTAAGTTTCCCACACTTCGGAATTATGGGAAACGCAATCCCAGCGTTGTTTCCAAGGAAATTGCGCTTCCCAGAGTTAGGAATTCGAATTCTGGGAAACCGCGTTTCGCGACATTCTAAACATTGACAGATTAGAAACGCAATCCCAGTCCATAATTCGAATTCCGAGTTTCTGGAAGCGCAGTTGCCCATAATTCGAATTCTGCATTATGGGAAACGCAGCTCCAGCCCATTGAGAATGGTTTTTCAAGGCAAATTGCGTTTCCCACAACCCTGAAATATGGGAAACGCAATTCCGAGTGTGGTTCTTCAACGGAAACTGCGTTTCCCATAATTCGGATTTCGAATTCTGGGAAGCCGCGTTCCCCGAAATTCGGAATTCGAATTATGGGAAACACAATTCCATCCCATGGAGTGTGGTTTTTCAAAGGAAATTGCTTTTCCCCATCATTCGGAATTCGAATTCCGGTCGCTTCGCGTAACCCCACCAATCCATCCAGAAACGATGCCCAGAGGAATTGCCTCGATCAGGGAAGTGGGCAGCATACAGAGGAAGGGTCCCCCAGTGGAGGCCTCTTGGAGCGTCTTGGGTGCATCGGAGAGCGTCTCTTGGGAGCATCTTGGAGGCCTCTTGGGCGCCTGTTGGGGCCTCCTGGGCGCCTCTTGGGGCCCTCTTGAAGCGCTCTTGGGAGCCTTGGGAGCGCTCTTGGGGCCATCTTAGAGGACGTCGATCAAACAAGCAGCGAGCATTAGTTAGCGTTACCCCTCGGTGGCCCCCCATAACGCCTCTTCGGGCGCTCTTGGGACGCTCTTGGGGCGCTATTGGAGCGCTCTTAGGCGCTCTTGGGGCCGTCTTGGGGCTCTCCTGAGCCTCTCTTGGAGCCCTCTTGGACCATCTTGGAGCCATCTTGAGGCCTCGGATGGTCATCGGAAGCGAAAGGCCAGAAAACCAAACACATCGATTTTTCAAGGTTTGGGCATTTTCGGGGCCTCCTGGGGGAGCTTTTTGGCCACTTGGAGCCGTCTTCGAGCGGTCTTGGGGCATCTTGGAGTGGGAGTTACTATGAGACATCTTGGGATATCTTGAGCCATCTTGGAGGTCATCTTGGGTTCTCCCAGGCGCTCTTGGAGTCATCTTAATCAGTGCCCCCCCAAAGAGGCCAACATGTGGCTAAAAACATTGTGAACTCAATGATTTGGCATTCTCGCCGAGGCCTCTTGGAGCATCTTGGGTGCCTCTGGGGGGGTCTCTTTGGGCCTCTTGGAGCTCTCTTGGGGGCCTCTTGGGGGCATCCTGGGGGCCTCTTGGGGCTTCCTGGCCACCTCTTGGGGCCCTCTTGTGGCACCCTTAGGAGCCTTGGGGGCCATCGTTGGGCCATATTGGGTGAGATCGATCACAGGAGAGGGGGTCAATAATTAGGGCCCCTCTCAGGAGGCCACAATGGAGCCAAAACCTAAGTAAACCCAATGATTTTGGCTTGCTCGCCGAAGCCGTTTTAGACGCCCTGACACATCGCGAACCCCCCCGTCCAGGTCCAGGGGAGGGGGTAGGGGGAGGGGTCAAGAGTCCCCCTCCCCGCCCGCAAGCCGTCTCGCTCACTCCCACCCGCCCTCCCAACACATACGTAGCACCCGAGCCTGGCCCGAGCCTCAGCATATTCAGCAGTGTTCTTTTGATGGGCAGCTACTGGGGGCCAATCCGCCGCCGCCGCCGCCGCCGCCGCTGCCGCCGCCGCCGCCGCCGCCTCCCGCTGCCAAACCGCCGCCGCAGCCGCTGCCGCCACCGCCACCGCCGCCGCCGCCGCCGCCGCCGCCGCCGCCGCCGCCGCGCCGCCCCCGCCGCCGCCGCCGCCGCCGCCGCCGCAGCCGCCGCAGCCGCCGCCACCGCCGCCGCAGCCGCAGCGCCGCGCCGCCGCCGCCGCCAAGTGCACTCCGTATTTATTTTTGACAGGGATGGTGGGGTGGGGCCGCATCGGGTTGGCTGCGCATGTTGCTAATTTGGAGGCAGAGTGTGTGTTTGTATTGTTTTTTACAAGGGATGGTGGTGGGGGGTCGGCATGGACCCTGGTTGGCCCCCAGTCGCCTGGGGGAGGGGGTGTATTAATAGGGAGCAGTGATCAAGACCCCCCCCGCCCGCAAGCCGTCTCGCTCACTCCCACTCACCCTCCCAACACGTACGTAGCACCCGAGTCTGGCCCGAGCCTCAGCATATTCAGCAGTCGTCTTTGGATGGGTAGCTACTGGGGGCCAATCCGCCGCCGCCACCGCCGCCTCCGCCTCCGCCGCCGCCGCCGCCGCCGCTGCCGCCGCCGCCGCCGCCGCCGCCGCAGCCGCTGCCGCTACCGCCACCGCCGCCGCCGCCGCCGCCACCGCCGCCGCCGCCGCCGCCGCCGCCGCCGCCGCCGCCGCAGCCGCCGCCGCAGCCGCCGCCGCCTCCGCCAAGTGTACTGTGCATTGATTTTTGACAGGGATGGCGGTGTGGGGGGGCGCACCGGGTTGGCTGCGCATGTTCCGAATTTGGAGGCAGAGTGTGTTTTGTAAGGTTTTTTACAAGGGATTGTGGGGGGGTGTCGTCATGGACTTGGGTTGGCCCCCAGTCGCCTGGGGGAGGGGGTGTTTATTAATAGGGAACAGTGATAAAACCCTTCCCCGACGGGGAAGAAGGAGGTTGGAAGAGGAGACTCCCTAAACCACCTACACCCAGAGGGCTGGTGGGATTATGGGAAACGCGTTTCCCGCGCAATGTGTCTTTAGGGCAGTCGTCCGGGGTTCCTTTTCAAATTGTTGAACTATGGGAAACGCAAACCCGGACGGCAGCCCATCTCGGCACACCCCTCGCACGTTTCGTGGCCCCGTAGGGGGTCCCCACTGAAGGTCCCAGCGGCTGCGTTCGCATGCGCCCACCGCGCCGATTTCGGCACACCTTTCACACGTTGCGTGGCCCCGTAGGGAGCTCACCCGAAGGCCCCAGTGGGTGCGTTCGCATGCGCCCGCCGCACCCATGTCGGCACACCCCTCACGCGTATCGTGGCCCCAGTGGCTGCGTTCGCATGCGCCCATACGCCCGCCGCACTAATTTCGGCGCACCGCTCACACGCTTCGTGGCTCCAGAGGGAGCTCCACTGAAGGCCCCAGTGGTTGCGTTCGCATGCGCCCGCCGCACCCATATGGCACACCCCTCATACGTTTCGTGGCCCCGTAGGGAGCTTCCCTGAAGGTCCCAGCGGCTGCGGTCGCATGCGCTTGCGCACCCTTCACACGTTTCGTGGCCCCGTAGGGAATTTCATCGAAGACCCAAATGCCAGCGTTCGCACGCGCGCGCCGCACTCATTTCGGCATACCTCTCGCACGTTTCATGGCCCCGTATAGGGGGCTCCACTGAAGGCCCCAGTGGGTGCGTTCGCATGCGCCCGCCGCGCCCATTTAGGCACACCCCTCACACGTTTCGTGGCCCCGTATGGGTGCTCCACTGAAGGCCCCAGTGGCTGCGTTCGCATGCGCCCGCCGCACCCTTTTCGGCACACCTTTCACACGCTGCGTGGCCCCATAGGGAACTCCACCGAAGGCCCCAGAGGCTGCGTTCGCATGCGCTCGCCGCACCCTTTTCGGCACACCCCTCACACGTTGCGTGGCCCCATAGGGAGCTCCACCGAAGGCCCCGTTGGCTCGCCGCACCCATTTCGGCACACCCCTCACATGCTTCTTGGCCCAAGGGGGAGTCACAACTGCATGTGGTTGGGTCTTTCGCCAGGCTGATTGTATTTTTTCGTTCAGAATCCGCCTGTAGGGGGACACGCCCGACCCATGCGATGGCATCACAGTTCCACTGCGCAGCCCGCTTTGCGAG